GGGGGACAGTTTGCTTTGGCATGGGACACTGTGAGAGGCCCATGGGATCGGACCTGCCACAAATCCAAACCCATGCACTCCTTTTAATTTTTACATTACATTCTGTATCATCTACTTTAGAAAACATCTTTTTAAAAAGGCAGTTCTAAATAGTTCAACCAACACATTTTGAGTATTTTTATTTTCCCCAAATCATTTTTAATGAAAACAAAGATGTCCTTTATTTACCTCTTAATATAAAATGTTAAGTTTTTCTCTAGAAAGCTGCCTCTATAACTTATCAAGGAATTTTTATACAAAACTGTGAAAACTGCAGCTCAAGCCAATAATAACTTCTCCATAGTAATTAACAGTTTAAAAAGTACTTTCACATACATCTTTTCAACTTTAAAAAAGTCTTTTCTTCTTTGGCCATTCAAAAGAATTTGTGGAGTGCCTACTATTGGGCAGACCCTAAGCTAAAAACTGTAGATAACACAAACAAGATGCTGTCAAGAAACTTGGAGTCTACCAGTCCAAGATGTAGGAGACACAGAAATGAAAAATTAAACTACTTTAAGTGCAACAGAGTGTGCTGAATTCAGTATGGTTATACAAGCACAGTAATAGAGCCTTACACAAGCTATCAGCCCTCTGCTTGGGGGTGGGGAGAGGAGATATTAGCAAAAGCTCTTTGGATGAGGTAATATTCGTGCTGGATTTTTAAAGCTGGACAAGTTAGCAAGACAGGAAAGGAAGAAAAGCACCCTGGGCCCAAAGGCCAGTTCGCCCCGTACAGAAAGATGTATTTCAGAGGGTACGCACACTCAGACAAGCTAGGACAGCGTGAGGTGGGGAGTGGCAGGAAGTGAGGGTGGAGAGGTGAGCCTGGCCTGCATTTTTTGAAAGTCTTATGGGATCTACGGCTGTGTTCATTTTCATACTAAACTTGTGTTAGTCCACCCTCCGCGTCTTTCATGAGTTACTACTTGCCTTTTCCTTTAGCAAGGCCATACTCTTCTCTATCATCCACTGGCCTCCACTCTCTCTGAAATGCAGCCATTCGTGAGCCTTGAAAGAAGCAGCTCACTACTTGGGGGTGCCCCCACCCATCCCACAATAGCATGTTATCTAAACTCACTTACTAAAAATAAATAAGTAAAATAAATGCACTCACTAAATTGGGTCAATGCTGACTCATAGCAATCTCCTGTGGGTTTCTGAGACTGAGATTTTTCACAAGAGTTTAGAAAGCCAGTCTTTCTCCCACAGAGCTGCTGGTGGTCTTGAAATGGCAGACCATCGGGACAACAGCCCAAGTCGTAACCACTTAAGGAAGCACTAGGAGGTGGAAAAATAAGCGAGATAAGGATGTAACACAAAGTGGAGCAAAGAGTATGGAAAACTGAGGCCTGGGAAGAGAGATTTCAGAAGCTTGGGAAACCACGATTCTCGAGCAGGGAGGCCTTCACATTCATGGGTTGGAGATGCGTCCCAGTCACATTCTCCTAGTCCATGTTATTCCTTATTCCCCATGATGTCCCCTGTCATAATGCCAATTTTAAGGTGCTGCTTGCAAGTGCATGGTTGCTTACTATACACTTAAAGGTCAGCTGCTTGAAGGCTATCTGCCTAAAGGTTATCTGCCATCAAAAGCAGTCAGACCATGCAACCCTATGTACGGCCCACTCCCTTATGATAAGGATCATAGATTATTCCCCTGGAGAAGAGCTCAGAGGCACTTAAGGTCAAGCCAGCTCAGAAAGGACCACTATCTTAACTCTAGAGCCCACCCACCTTGTTACTTATATACCTTCCTGTCACATATACCTCCCCTTCCTATATACCCTTAGCTCATCCCCCTCCTGTTCTGTATGGGCTTGTATGCCCACGCTTACTTAAGCTTGTGAGAGAATGCATTACTCCCTCACTCTGGTTGCTGTGGCCATGGAAGAGGTGAGCCCTTGCATGTCTTGTCTCGTGTCTCTTTTAATTTACCCCTCAACTACACAACCGCCCCTTGGGCCCATTCAGTTGTGGAGACTGGTCTCCCACAAAAGAGTATGGAAAGAGTTGGGGGAAAGGCAAGAAATTCCTCTCACTGCCATAGTGACAATTTGGACTCACAGCGACCCCATAGAACAGGGGAGCACTGCCCCTGTGGGTTTCTGAGACTCTAACTCTTTATGGGTATAGGAGAAAGTAAAAAAGATGATGAAAACAGAAGCAAAAGGAATTGCCTGGAAGCATATAATAGAGTTGAAGAACGAGTCCTTAGCCAGTATTCAAAGTAGCTTATATCCATTAATATTTGAAGCATCCCTTCCAGTTAGATGTAATTTCTCTTTTCTAATTAAGTAAACAGGCTCGGATTAGTTGCTTTCAGATGCCGAGTCAGTTCCAACTCAGGACACCATGAAGGAACAAGGCCCGGTCCCATGCCATCCTCACAATCCTTCTTGTGGTTGAAAGCTTATTGTTGCAGCCGTTGCGTCAGTCCATCTTGTTGAGGGTCTTCCTCGTTTTCACTGCCCCTCCACTTTACCAAGCATGATGTCCCTCTCCCAGGACCGGACTCTCCTGATAACGTGTTCCAAGCATGTGAGATGAAGTCTTGCCGTCCTTGCCTTGAATAAGAAGCATTCTAGTTGATTTGTTGGTTCTTTTGGTATAATTGGTTCTTGATCATAGGCTACCTTTTAAAATGGTGGAATGTCAACTACTTCTTTAAGTTCTGAGTAGTTAAGCAGATCAAAATCATTTAACAAATCTTTTGATTTGAAGTCAGGACACCTAGGTTTAGATCAGGCACTTACTGTGTGTCACTGGGTATTTTAATTAATTACTCTGAACTTTAATTTAATGAGAAACTGGAGACAAAATAATTGTCTTCCCTATCCTCCAGGGTGCTAGGGTCAGCAATGAGATCATCCATTGGAGAGTACCTTCCGATCTCTGAAGGGCTCTAATACCAAAACAGGAACTGTTCGTTGAGCAGTAATCTATGCTGTGTTGTTCTTTTAAATCTTCAGGGTTGATGCTGAAAGAAACTCACAAGAGTTTACCTCCATTATAGGTGAACTTACTCTTAAAGCAGCTGCTGAAGCTCTTGGTGTTCAAGAACATCTCTTTTTGGTGCACACGCTAGCAGACTATTTCCTCTTGGACCCCTTGTTAGTGACGAAGAGCCCTTTCAGAAGCAAGATAAGCAAACACCTGTGGAACCTTTCAGTGTTGGCTGTAGGCGCCAGGCATGTCAACAATTTACAAAGTCACTCAATACAACTCTACTGGTTCAGGGAAGGTGAGGTTTCCACGATACTGGAAGAGCTGATGCAAGTTTTTCAACATCATGCTTCCTCTAAACATCTAGCCAAAATTTTAGAAGATAAGATCAAAGGCTGGAGATTACTTAAAAATGTTCAAATGAAAAGGCCCAGACAGTTAAGGGAGATCCCAACCCCAACCATGGGGCCAACTGAAACAATAAAATTAAACGAATTTTTTTCTCTTTCTTCACCAACCTTGACTCATTGGATTCCTGAAGATGAGGCCTCAATTCCTAGTTTATTTGCTACCCAAAAACAGATCACTCCTACCCACAAACCTAGCTTTATTCCAAACACTCTCAAGAATATGAAGAGTATAAGGCCGCTGCATCCAGCAGTAAGATCCCAGAATCCTTTAAAGGAAATGGCCTTGACTACAAACCTTGGCTTGCCTTTTGTTCTTCCTGAAGTCATGCCTTCTATGGTATTGACGACTTCGTTTCCAGAATCTGACATCTTTCCCTGCAGAACTTCCACAGTGTCAATGTTGCTAGAAAAAAGAGACTCTACAGATTTGGAAGTAAGGGGAAACTGGGAAATACATACGCATTCTGTGTCACCTGACCTTGCCTCAGAATCAAGTAGTCAAGGCTGGTTTCCACAAGCTCTTCTTTCTGTGCCTGAGGACTCTCATTTTCAGGGGTCCTCCATCCCTGAGGAAGTGATGCAGGAGAACGTGATGCCTTCAGGACTATCTTCAGTGACTCCACTCACCAGCAAAACGAGTTCCTCTGTTCCAGATGACCTGGAAAGATTTGTGGAGTCATCTAGCAGATTCTTGCCATCTTCAGCATCAGGTGAGATGTTGGCAGCCTCTCCTTTCTCCCTTAAGTTCAGCCAACTGCCTTTGTCAAATCAGCTAATGCAACAGTACTTTCATGAGCATAAGCACATGTCCAAAATGCCTAAAAATACTCAACAGACTCCCTTATTCTCCCTCCCTACAGAAACAAGTTCACCTCCTGGCATAAGCATAAATGCAAAATTTGTAGGGGATGAAACATCTGACTCACCTCTTTTGCTCTTGGAGACAGCTGGTGAAACTAGTAGTATCTCAGAGGGCAGCTCACCATGTGATGTGATTCTGGAAACAGAGTCTTGGGAGCCGACTTCATCATATACTAAATTACAGGGTTTATCTGCACCGGCTGTTTCTGAGCAGCCCAAATTTGCAAATGCATTTGGATTTTCTGAATATATGGGCTCAAAGAGAACACATTATCTTAATGACTGGTTTTATCTGGCACAAAACACATAGCCTTGAGTGGATTCTCAAGAATTAGCAAAATTTTACCAAGCACGACAATGCTTACCTCGGATTCTACTGAAATGGTGGTTAAGTTATCCACCTACCTCCTCAAACACAATGGCACCACATGGGACTATTTATGACTTTAACAACATAGCAGGTAAGACGGTAGATTTTAAGGTTTCTCCTTGTCATATTTTCAGCGAATCTATATACTAACAAGTAGTAACCAACTAATAAATAAGATTAAAATAGAATACTTGGTGTTAACTATGGTAAAGTTATGAGTGGTTTTCCTCTGTATTTTTATTTGTCCATATTTTCATAAGAAGCATTAATAACTTTTAGTTGGAAATTTTTTTCAAAGATGCATCATTAAAGAAAGCCAATGATCTCTCCGCCCGACCGCCGCCGCGCCGCCATCATGGACACCAGCCGTGTGCAGCCCATCAAGCTGGCCAGAGTCACCAAAGTGCTGGGCCGGACCGGCTCCCAGGGACAGTGCACGCAGGTGCGCGTGGAGTTCATGGACGACACGAGCCGCTCCATCATCCGCAACGTGAAAGGCCCCGTGCGCGAGGGCGACGTGCTCACTCTGCTGGAGTCGGAGCGAGAAGCTCGGAGGCTGCGCTGAGGCCGCGGCCGGGTCTCGGATGTCTGGCCGACCACTTGATCAACGGGGATGAGCTGCGACTATTCAATAAAGCGTTTATATTGTATGTAAACTTGGGGTTCTGCCTGGAGCCTGTCCTGCCCACCTGGGGGTGACTGGAAACCTGGGGACGGGTTACCACAGCGTTGACTCTTTAATTAGCACGTGAAAACGTTTGTGAACTTTTTTGAAGACCATACATTTCCCAGGAAAAAAAAAAAAAAAAAGAAAGCCAATGATAAGATACGGTACCCATCTTGAAGAGCCCCTGTGAATTCCCAAGACTATAACTCTTTACCGGAGTAGAAAGCCATCTTTCTCTTATAGAATGGTTGGTGGTTTTGAACAGCTGCTATTTTCGGTTAACAGCCTAATACATAACCAGTACACCTTCAGGGCTCCTCACTATAGTTAGACTCAATCAATCTCTACTGCTAAAGCAAACACCAGCTTCTGTTTAGCTTATCTGTCTCGTGGTATACTACAAACACAGGCACTATGGCGATTAAGAACTCATTATCTGTAGTCAGACATCCAGAACTTAAAATCTAGCTCTATACTTTACTAGTTGGGTGACCATAAGCACTTTTAGTCCCATCACTTATAAAAATGAACGCAACAATTATCTCAATACATTTATCATGAAAGTAAAATAGAATATACTTGGGACCGTGTCTGCTTCTCCCTCTGACTTAGATAACCAATTGGATTGACTCATTTTTAGAACTTGTTTCATCCCAATATTGAAATATATTTTTACAGTTACTTCCCAGGAAACTTCCATGATTTTCTAATTTGGAAGGATTTCCTGTGTTTATTAAACTTCTGCATCACTTTAAATAAATGCTTACTATCTCATCTGAATTTACTAGAGTTGCTAGAAACATTTAGACAAGGTGCCACCAGCTTGCCTTTCACTAATTATGAATTGCTTCAAGCAACAAAGATTCTGATACCATATGCTCTCCCTCCTGAATCTCAGAAACCTGAAGATATGCCACACCCAGGTAAGCAATTCTATGCCCAAAAGATGGTGAGTCTGATGAAAAGTTAGCCTGTGTGGAATTTGGCAGAAACTTCTCTCACTGGTAGTTAAAGTATATACTGCTATTCAAGCCAATGACCTATGCAAGGTGCTCAACTCTCACTTGAAAATAGTCTTTCTGTTCATCAAGTGACTGTCCCACCCTGTCTCCTTGGCTCCCTGGTTGTTGCCCTAGCATGGCGCTCCTCTTCTTCCCATCAGTGTACGACCCACAATTTCTAGTCCCCAGCCTTGGTTACAATGCATCATGTCCAAGTTTTTGTGATAATCAGCCCTCACATAATCCCAAGCACTGTTTATGTAGATCTTCAGTTGTTTTCTAGCTTGAGATCTAAAAGTGTTAAACAGAATTAGAGCACTATTAGAGCATTAGTTCATTACTATGTCTCTGTTCTATTGTTTTTCTTGTTGAGCTTTTAATTTCACACACACACACACACACACACAAAGTTTGAGCTGTTGCTAAAAAAATTTATACTGTTAATACATTCATTTCAAGATCCTTTTCCAAAAATAATTTTCAGGCTGAAAGGACTTGGAAACTAACAAAATCCATGTATATGTAGAGCAGTATCCAGGCTGTAATGCGAAACATACAAGTTGAGAGTAAGAAAGGAAAAGGGGAAAGGGAGAAAAGGGAGGAGGAGAGACAGGAAATAGAGAAAAAGGGAAGACAAACAGAACTCGGAATGGATTAACTGGATGTTGAAATAGAAGGAAGTGTCCCAAAGCCAAAGGATAGCAACAGTTCTGAAAGGACTTACTCCCTTTCCCTCAGCTCTGGAGCAACTTCTATGGTACACGAACCCAGGGAGGGCCACTGAGGCATGGCACGGCATATCTGCTGAATTCAACAGCTCCTTTCCTAATCTCCTATCGGAATCGGCTGGAAACTGAAAAGAGGAGAACCCTGTCAATCATCAAGAGAACGTTAAACATGTAAAGAATGACTGTTGACATGTCTCTTCTTTGCTCCTTCTAGGTCAATCCAACACTTTTCCGACAGCTGTTAATCCCATTCCATCAATAACAGCAACTATTGGGCACAGATTTAATTTCCCAATCCCTCCTGACACATTTTATGATCAGGAAGATGGCAACTCAACTTACTTGACACTTGAAATAAAATCAATAAATGAACATCCTTCGGGTCCAGAAAGTTGGCTGCAATTTAATACGACTCATCAAATACTGCACGGATATCCCCTAGACCTAGATTTCCAGTATTCTCCTCAGGAGTTTGTTCTTCGTGCCACGGATTCTGGGGGCCTGGCTGCTCAAACGCCTTTGACCATTGAACTCAAGCTGCCCCAAAAGACTCCCTGCCATACTTACACTCTGCGTACAAAGAACAGTTTCTACTCATTTATAAAGAAGAGAGAGAGGATTGCTTTATTTTTTGCTAAGCTTATTGACTACCTGAACTCCAGTAACCCTGAGCAGATTGTATTAGCTACCCTCAGACCAGGGTCTACAGTTATATCTTGGTATAATAAAGCATAGTGTTTTGTCAATGGCAGTTCCCTGAAATGGTGTCCTAATAGAAAAATTCAGGAAGTACTGTTTAAACTAAGGAGGCCTAATGGAAATGTCCATCCAAACTTTGCAGACGCAATGTCACCGGAATACAAGATAGGCACAATTGAGAACATCACATATAGCGGAATCTGCCTCACTGTGGAGTCAGACACTGAGTCAGTAATTGAAAACAACATTCTAGCCTCTTCTGTTACAGATGATAGCCCCTGGACTAGAAATTTTCATCTGGCTTTGTTGGTAAGCATATGTATGCTGATTATAGGAACTGCAGTGATTGTAGCTTACTATTACTATAAGAACGCTAAGTCTTTTCTCTTTCCTCAGTCCCTGGTGTCTGAAGGAACCTTAATAAGTACTACTGGCCAAGAGATGGATGTGCTAAGGGCCCGAAAGCCACCCATCCTGGAATATGATGTCCCACCGTCCCCTCCCCCGTGGGGAGGAATACCACCTCCTTCTCAACATTGTCCTCATCGAGAAAATGCGATCCTGGACCCTGAAACATGAGCAGCCATTCTTCCACACTCCAAAATACCAACACCCATCTCCCTCTCGTGAGCCGGAGTTTGAGAAGTCAGCACTGTTGACAACCCAGATGCAGTAACAGCCATGTAAGAAACAGGGCTGATAGAGGAATTAGGTCAACGAAGCATCACTGAGCCAAAAGCTAAGCAATAAATAATTAATCCTGACTTAACTGTATTGCCATGCCACAAATTAATTCTAATCCCTTATTTTCTCTTGGATGCTTGGAGGGTCAATTAAAAAATTAAGTCAATCAGGTTGCCATTGCCAAGACAATGCTTCCTCCCTGATGATTAATTCCACGACCAGCAACTCGGAACTCCCACTGCCCTCAAGTCAATTCCAACTCATAATGAACCTGGGTTTCTTTCACTGCAGTAGTCTAATCTTCCTGCGGAACAGCTGGTGTGTTCCATCGGCTGACCTGGTGGTTTGCCGCTGTGTGTAGCCCACTGTGCCACCAGGCCGCACCACTAGCAATCAAAACCACCACACTCACTGCCTTGGCAGCATCGATAAGGACTCATAGCAACCCTGTAACAGGTGGAACTGCCTCTGTGGGTTTCCGACAGCGTGTAGAAAGCCCTGTTTGGTGCTTTCAAACTGTTGACCTTGCAGATTGCAGGCCAACGCATAACCACTCCAGTAGCATCTGCAAGTGTGAAGGCGGCTGTAAAAGGCCAGTCACTACAATCTTCAATAGAAATGAATGAATTTAAAATTGCAACAGGCTACTATTACTATATATGGGCAAAAAGATATTTACCTTTCATATTTTTGCTTACATTTTATGAATAAGACTATCACACTAATCTTAAAACAAACAAACAAAATGGGCTGTGGAAAAGGTTAACCAAGTCTCCTCTATGAAGCTACCCTAACAGATATGACCAGTTTTCTTTGCTATCCCACTTCTGAAAGAGCTGATCACTTTGATCACACTCTGGTACGTCTTTGAACATTTCAATTGCTGCAATTTCATTTCTACCTCACAGACACAGCTTTCTGTAATTATCAGCCTCTTACCTGACTTATTCTCACCTCCGTCTCTGCAGCTCCACACACTGCCATTGTCCTTTCTAACAGCACAGTCCCATCTTTTCCAAGTAGCTGTCACCAAACCACCAGAGCTCCTTTGCTCACTCGCTGCCAGGCAGCCAATCCCCTCACACAGCTCCCTCAAAACCAAACCAGACTCACTGCCAGGGAGCCAGTTCTGACTCACAGTGACCTAGTGGCACAGTGGGTTACCATTGGGCTGCGGACTGCAAGATCAGCTATTTGAATGTAGCAGCTGCTCCCTGCAAGAAAGATGAAGCTTTCTACTCCTATAAAGATTTGCGGTCTCAGAACCCCACAGGGGCAATTCTACTCTATACTACAGGGTCACTATCTATGGAACTCCCCTAGGACTTATTCCTACCTCTAAGCTTGGTTTTTTTTTTTCTTCTCTTCCATTCCTTTAAACATAATCTCTAAAACTGTCCTGGAACTTGCTAAGAGTATAAATTAAATGTGCTATCTCTTAAAAAATTAAACATTTTCTTTCTCTGAATATTCTAATCTACACCATTTATTACTCTGTGCTTACTAAGAAAGAAACTCTACAGGCCTTTTAATTCATGGTCACTTTTCTTTGGATCTTTTCATAATCAATTGATTTAGAACCACACCACCACTTAAGATGTCACAAATATGAAAAATTTAATCAGACACTAAATTAAACCTGTTATCCTTTTTACTAGGAGGAACTTGTTTCAATGTATACAAGCTGATAGATTGTCTATTTCCAGGAAATATTTATGGTATAGACAAATTTATTAGCTGAATCATAAGAGATCCCCAATATTCTTTTTGTATGCAAAAAGTGGCAATGTCATAGGGTTTAATCTTCTGTGTTCATTTTAATTATGGAAGAGTATTCTAAAGTCATAATCCAGACCCGTTGTTTCCTAAAGTAAATCTAATACCTCACACATTTACAATAAGAAAATGTATAGATCTGTTGACACTAGTACCATCTTCATACAAAATTAGCAGCTAGACACTTTTGTTAACTATATCTGCATAAGTATATTGGTGACTTAAGATCTGCCAGAAATAACAATGTAAGCAACTCAATGCTTGATGAATACTGTGAGCAGGAATACTCAATATTCAAGAATTCAGTTGATGGGCCTGCTCCAAAACATAGCTATGTATTATCCATGCCGGCTTCTCATACTTATAAGAAACATCAATGGTGATTAACAATTCTGTGTATTAATAAACCACAAACCAAACCAAATCTGCTGCTGTATGTAGAGTTGATTCCACCTCATGAGGACTCTGTGAGTTGCAACTACCCATAAAGTTTTCCTGCTGTTAGCTTTACAGAAACAGATTGCCATTTCTGTAGCTACCGGGTAGGTTCAAGCCTTTAGGTCAATAATCCAAATTAAGCCCACTCCCATTGAGATGATGCTGACATAGGGATGACCCTAGATAGGGTTTCCCGAAATCCCATTGCAGCCTAATGATTTATGAGAACATATGAGGGAGAACCCCCTGAAAAAACTAAATGTTCATTTGTTTTTTTGATGTGAGGGGCATTCTACTAGGTCAGACTGTTAATCAAGCGTTCTAAAGGTTCTGAAAAGACTGCCTAACAGTGTGTGACAAAAAAGGTCTGATTTGTGGCAGACGGGGGACTGTTTTTGCCACCCTGACAATGCACCTGCTCACACAGCCATTTCGGTGCATCAGTTTTTGGCAAAAAATAGCCTGCCTCTCTTGCCCCATGCATCTTACTCACCTGACCTCCCTCCATGCAATGTGAATGACGGCGGGAATGAAAGGACAGCAATAGAAGAGGTGAAGAAAAAAATGAAAAAGGTGCTGTCAGTCTTCTAAACAGATGAGTTTGAGAAATGTTTCCCAGAATGGAATCACAGATTTGACATATGTATTAATTGTAATGGAGAGTACTTTGAAGATAAGGTTGTTTTGTAAAAAAATTTAAATGCATAGCTTTGAAAAAAATTCCAGTTTTTGAGTACCCCTCATATATTGCACCAGAGGGTGCAGCATTTCCTGGGGGCAATGACTGCCTCGTGGTGCTCACGCTTTCCCAGACCTGCCTGATGTGTCTCTACACTTGTATCCTGTCTGGTTATAGTAAGTAAGTAAGTAATAGCTTCTATAAATTCTGAGTCATTCTAAAGAAATATTGAGCACATCTGGACAATGAGAATGAGTAAAGAGGCTTGCATTTGTCTATTTAACAGGATCGAGAGAGTTCTAATGTGTAGAGACCCAACTAGGTGGTTAGGGTCAGAGAAATAATGCTATGTGGGTGGCTGGTGTAAGAATGGTGAAGTGGGAAAGTGGGGATATGAGTTATTTTCACATTTTTGAATTAGTGTGAGTCAGCATTTATTCACACTAGTAGGGAATAAAGATTTTAATTGAAATTTTATCCACTTCTCTTAACATTGATATATATATATATTTAAATCCAATCCTCAATATGGTCCTTGCGGAGAGAAACGAGAAACAACTGCAAGGGCTCAAAGGATATCTTGTTAAGTAGATGGAAAGAGTCCCTTGGACAGAGTCTAGCAACAAACAACAGACAAGCTACTGGCAGATGGTGCTTCATGATGCGGTCACAGAAGTATTCCCCCAAGTGGTATACCATACCCGTGCCCATGAAGAGCAAGTATCTAGAGATGGAGACTTCCAAGTAGATAGGTTATCAATAAGTATACAACCCTGGACCCCAGGGAAGGGGAAAGCATAAACTGAGAAAAGTGCAACAGAGTCCCAGTCATTAATGATGGGTTGCGAAGGAAATAATTTTGAACCAAGGAATAAGCTAGGACTCCACAATTGAGGCACAGGTGGAAAACCGGGCTCACGGATAATACATAAAATATCATTAGCCAACTAACAGTAAATATGATGTAATAATTAAAAATTGGGTTACAGCTCCTAAGATCTTTCAATCTAAGGATCTGATTAGATCTGGTCTGCTTGTGTGCGATTTACTAAGTGTACACCTACACACAGAGGTAAACAAGCTGGCTCCAGCTTGTGGGGGAAGGCAGATGCCAGGGCTGAGAACGGGACAGGTTCGATAAGATGAGAGCAAAGTCAAGTTTGCTGGGTTGGCAAGGGAGTTTGCCACACCCTTGGCTTAAACACTATTTGTTTTTTAAACAGAAAATATAAAGCCCCCAAATTGAACCTCAGTATTTAAACAAATAACAATTTCCTCCTCTAACACACTCAAAGAAACAGTGATGAGCCTAGAACAACAATATTCAATAATGAAATAACAAGTTTCTTGCATCATGTTAGGAGCTTCCAAATAAAGAAGCATTATCAAGAAGGCTCAGCAAGCATACACCACACAACCAGGGCATTTCTGAAACAGGGAGACTAAGATATTATTCAGGGATAAGAAAAATAACCTAGGAATGTTCCTTTCCTCTAAGTCTGTGAAAAGTCAGTGAATACTAAATGTTTAGGAGCAAAGAAACTATAGCATTATCCAATAGTAGTAAATTAAAATTTACACTAAATACCTGAATGCTTTTCTTTTAAATAGACAAAACACATGTGTAAAAATCATTTAAAATGAAATATAAAATAACAAAAACATTTTTAAAACACTGTGTATGCAATTGATGTGTGTATGGATTGAGATAACAGTTGTATGAGCCCCTAATAAAATGTTTAAAAAAAAAAGATTAAAAAAAACAAACAAAACACTGTGTATGATGCATATTTATAAGCAAGATTTTATATTATATATTGCAACACCTATCTAAATTCTAGTAAAATTTGAAAAGACTTCTAAGTGCTTTTGTTAGTCATCAAATAAATATCTTTTTCCTAAAGTAACACCCCAGTACTTTACATTTCAGATATCTTAAAGAGTTTTATTTGGCAAAGAAAGGCCTAATTTTTTTTTTTAAGAAATACTTCCAAGGGGATACCTTTTACCACAAAATAAATTTGTGAATTTAGGAGGACACATCTAAAATGTATATATTTGACATTTGTGCCAATTTTACAATTAGTACAAAAAGGATAAAGTTAGTTGAAAATTTTTTTAAAATGTAAAAACCAGTCCAGGCCACTTTAACTATACAATCTTGCTGTAAAAGTACTTTTATCAAATTCTGAAGAAAATATTTTTGCAATATGCTAATTTCATTCCACACGTCACTTTTCACTGCCGGCTGGCTTTTCCATTTTCTGTTGTCTCCATTCTGAAAAATAGAAGAGGGGGAAAAGAAAGGATTTATAACACAAAACGTTCACTAACTCTCGTATTTTTTGCCACTTAATCATCTTTCACCTGAAAAATACAATCTAACATATTGAGACCAGGAAAGCTGAAGACAAAACACCAAACTTGCTTCCACTGAGTCAATTCTACCTCGTAGCAGCACTAGAAAAATGCTGATTTAGGGCAATGCTGATTCTTCCGGTTGGTCCAACTTCCTCAATTTACAGATGACTGAAAATTGAGGCCCAGAAAGATTAAGTGACTTTCTTAAGGTTACATTTCAAAGACCACTATTTTCCCCACTAGATTATTTTCCCTCTCCAAGAAAAACTGAGAAAACATCCAAGAGGGTTCCAAAAAGTTCATGGAAAAATTTTATATTTTAATCCCATTTTTCCAAGAACTTTTTAAAACCTCCTCATATTTACTTACATAGTTAACTTTTTCTTTAATTTTTTCCTTTATGATAGTTACTGAATCAAGGGAGTCACCTGATTACGAATAAGTTTCATCCCTAAATCAGTCTTTAAGTTGAACTTATATGTAAACCAGAACATATATAAGGTAACTATTATATAACCTTATCTAAGATCGGCAGGTCAAGTTTGTCTTAATATAGGGTAGGTCAAAAGCCTGGCTACAAAATCATATAAACCTTTCCTACACAAAACTAGCAAAATGTGAAACTATTGTTTACATCTCTCTAACCCTTCCCCAAAGAATTCTGTACTTTTCTATTTCCACCATATTGAAATGGAAATTGTGGCATCCTTAAGGAACTCCTGCTTTTGAGTTAAAAAAAAAGTTAAAGGTTAAGCTCAGGGCTGTCTAGTGAATAGAGGAAAGTCTCCTAACAAGATTCTCATAGGTCAATCATTGATATCCTTGGAGAATGAGCAGGCTCACTGTCATGATGGAAAACATTCCTTAGTGTGGCTTTTCTGATCTTTTCCTCACCAATGCAGTCTTCAATTTTCTTCATAGTAAGTCCCTGTGATTGTCCTATGT